CTATGTTGCTGCAAGAAATTCAACAACCTTCTTTAAAAAGTTAAAAAAAAAAAAAACAAAAACAAGAGAAAAAGACTTTGTATAATGATTGATTGGTTATTAACTTATTGTAACCTTTTCATTTGTAGACATTATATATATATATATATATATTAATGTTGTACAGTTTCTTTATTAGCTACCAAACTTTATTTTATCAACAAATGACAACTTCGACACAATTCATTATACTTTTTTTTTTTTTTTTTATCAAACAAGGATGATACCTTGATAATTTATTAATAATTAAGTGAAAAAATACAAGAGGAGGACAATCCTGGCTCACAAACAAGAGCACAAAGAAGTCTAACCCCTGAAAGATTTGTAGGATTTTCCTACAAATCACAAGAAACTTGATACATTGTAATCTAATTAGTTTGCCTTCAAATAAATAAATTTCAACGAAATGCTTATACCAGCTAATTACTTTAATGTAGCCTGCAAATAAATAAAGTTCCTAAAAAATTATCAAGCCGAAAGGTAAATAGTCCTGATTTATCCTCTTGGAGCAATTGCCTATAACTTATGGGGAGAGCATCCTTATTGTAAATGGTTTTTTGAGATTGGTGGTGGAATGCCCAACTTGCTATCCAATCTACCACCTTGTTGCCTTCTCTGACCACATGCTACAACCTTGTATCTGAAGCCAAATTACTCAAACATTATCTGTACATGTATGTTTGCTGTCATGGATAAGAAATCGAACCTGAAAGTCCCTCAAGTGTGAGAGCTGAATCTGATTTGATGATGTTTATAGTTAGATTTCCCTGCTTGCATATTGAAATTCCCTCCATTATTGCTGGGAGCTCTCCTATATTATTGGATCCCAAACCATAAAAACTTGAAAAAGCAATTACTGTTACCTTGCTCATCCCTTAGTATGCCTCTTCCACTATACATATTGTTTCTTGACGAACCATCAGTATTCAACTTGAAACGACCGATTGGAGGAAGATTCCATCTGACCCATTTGCCCCTCATCATGTTACTTAACTAAACCTTAATACCTAATGCTTGTAAACACACTCTATCATGGAAGGCTAGAGATTTCCTCGAAGTAAAGAGCTTGTTAATGTCGGCTAGCCACTGAAGAACTTTGTGTTTGATAGCCAAGGCGTTCATTTCCTCCTCCTCAAAGTAGGCTTTATTTCTTGCTAACCATAACTCCCAAATTATACAATTAAAAGCAATAGCACGAGAGAGAGATTTTTGTGATTGTGGGGTACCTTTGGGAAGCCATTTAGTCATAAGCTACTGAAGGGATGTGGTTCCAATTAGTATGTCTAGCATATCTCAAAAATAATTCTAGGTTCGTTTGGCTACTTCGCTGAAAAGGAAGAGATGCTCCATGGTCTCCTCATACGGCTTGTTACAGCATTTACACTGAGAAGCTAATAATATCCCACAAGCTTTAATATTAGCTTCCACTACTATGACATTATTCAAAAATCTCCAAATCATGACACTAATTTTGCATAGAATCCACTTATTCCATAAGCTTTTCCACCATTCAAACTTTTTTCCATGAACTCTGCTGACCTCATAATAGTCTCTGCTGCTTAACTTTCCTGACTTAGGATCCATATAACATAATTTGTCATCCATGGAACTATCCAGAAGCAATCTATCTAATTTTTCCTTAACCCGATGCAGTAAAGCTGCATATATTTGTTCATTATTTTTTGCTTAGGCTAGAGTAGTTCCTTGAGCTGATGTGGGAGATGGGGGATCTGCCACCATCCACTGATCCTCTTAAAGTCTGATCTGTCCTTTACCTGCAACCCATATTGATCTGTCCTGCATATTTTGTATATGTTGTATAAGAGATCTTCATACCAATGACCCTTTGCTTTTGTCCATGTTGAAGAAGTCATCCAGAGAGCCATATTTTGCCTCAACAAAGGTGCTCCACATTGTAGAACTTGATAAGTAAGACCATGCCAACTTACTTTTCATAGCATGCATAACCTCTTTCAAATCTCTCACCCCCAATCCACTTTCTTGTATAGGTAAGGACACTTTGCACCAGCTTACCCAATGATGTCGACTCTCACCCCCGCTATTCCAAAAAAAGTTTAAAATATAGCTTTATAGCCTAGCTAATGTGATTTTGAGAATTGAGAGAATTTTGAGAAATGGGAATTAAGGAGAGAACGCTTTGTATAAGTGTTAACTTACCCCCTAATGACAAGAGTTTCCCTTTCCACCCGGTCAATCTCGCTTTCATATTTCATTCCAAGAAAGCAAAGTAGTGTATGCGATGTCTCCCTTTAAACAATAGCATACCTAAATATTTGATGACATCCACAATAACAGTAAAGCTAGTCCATGTTGAGAGCAAGCCTTTCCTGCTTGGTGAGATTTTATTACTGCATAATAGCAAGCTTTTCCTGAAGTTAATCAACTATCCACTAGCATTAGCATACTCTGTAATAGGATCATCATGTTATCTAATGTTTTGTTGCTCCTATTGAAAAAACCTAACATGTCATCTGCAAACAATAAATGTGAGATAATAGGCATATTACGACCAGTATAATAAGGAGAGATCAAACTTTTGTTTGTCCATGTGTTTAGTTGGCGATTAAAAGCATCTTGAGCAAGAATGAAAAGAGCAGGATAAAATGGATCTCCTTGTCTCACCCTTCTATGGGATTTGAAGAAACCAAAAAAATTTAAGAGTTTAGGCACATTGAATACCAACAATTACTCAAAACAGCGATATATTAAGTTGCACCAGGACTCTGAAAACCCAAATTTCCTCATGACTCTAAGTAAGAAACTATATTCCAATCTGTTGTAGGCCTCAGTCATGTCCACTTTAATAATGACATTACCCCTATGTACTTTACGATCAATGTCATTAAATAATTCATGTGCTAAGGCAACATTCTCATGTATGGCTTTGCCTTTCACGAAACCAGATTACTCTTTAGAGATTAAAAGAGGAAGAACTCTACTCAGCCTATTGTATCACTTGAGATAAAATCTTATAAGTGAAATTGCATAAACCAATAGGCCTCAATTCTGAAAAATTTAAAGGGTTGGAGCATTTCAAGATTAATATTAGATTAGTAGCTGTAACCCTCTTTAGAATCTCCCCTCCTCAAAAGACATCCTAAACTGCTAAAACCACATCCTTACTGATAATTTCCCAGCAGGTTTTGAAAAGGGAACCCATAAAACCATCTGGTCTTGGAGCACTTTGATCATCTAATTCAAACACAGCAGCCTTGATTTCTTCTGTAGTTGTAATAGACATGAGGTCATTATTTTGATCTTTCATAACCAATTTAGGAACCTCAGCTAAAAAACCATCCTCCAATGCAACTCTTTCACTCGAAAAGTTTTCCTAGAAGTACATCACTGCCTCACTTCCCAGTTTATTAGTATCCGTACATAGAACACCGTCATTTAATGTGAGGGCTAGTGTAGCCTTTATCGCCCTATTTCAGATACTAGCATGAAAGAAGGCTGAATTCCTATCTCCTATAGCCAAGCATTTGACCCTTGATTTTTCCTGAAGCAATAATTCCTCCTGATCAATCAGAGATGTCAATCTGTCCTTATTTTCTTTCAACTGCTCATAATTTCTTTCACTCCAACATCCCAGCAGTGCTACTTCAGAGCGCATAACCTCATCTCTGACACTATCCAACTTTCTATTTATGTCCCTAAAAATATTCCAGTTCCAAGCCTTAAGCTCACCCTGTAACTTTTTCAGCTTCAAGTGTAAGTTCAAAAAAGGAACCTGACTCATCTGACTATTCCAGTTCAGTTGAACAAATGGCAAGAAGTTTCCATGAATCGGCCACATTCTCTTGTAGCTAAATCTAGCTGGCTTTGGGTCCAATTGCTTAATAGACATTAACATAGGACAGTGATCAGAGTACAACCTCTACAAGTGAGAGCAGGTAAGCCATGGACAAAGAGATAAAAACTTATGATTGACTAGAACCTTGTCCAACCTCTTCCATATTCAAGCTCTACCCCTTTGATTATTGCACCATGTAAATTTACTTCCTATATAACCAATCTTGCTCCCCAAAAGCTGAATGCCACTGTTAAGCTCAAATATTGATTTGAGATCAGGTTGAAGACCCTCGATTTTTTCTGAAACATCCGCTATCGCATTAAAATCTCCTCCTATTATCCAAGGCTAAGATATATTTAGAGCATGCAAATTATTCCACAAAGTTCTCCTTTCAACCCCATTACAACTTGCATATACTGCTGTAATTACTGTAGTAGAGTTATTGCAGGAGTCTTGCATTAGAATAGTAATTGACTGTAAGCAAATATATCGTACTCCTACTAATAGATCATCTTTCCACAAAATCCATATATACGAATTCAATGGCTTCCCATGGAGGAAACCAGAAAAATTTAAATAACGAGCCAATTTTGGTAGTTTGTCACATCCCTGTTTCGGCTTTAGCAAAATAAGAAGAGATACCTGATTTTTGTGAATAAGTCTACGAAGGTATCTCTTTGTTTCAAGGGCTCCGACACCCCTAATATTCCATATTATGCTATTCACATGGAAGGGAGAAAAATGGCTCTCTATTGTGATCCCCCCTGATCTAGTCACCCTTTTGCCTTTACTCTGAACCAAGGATCTCAGAATCTTTTTTTCTGCTTATTCGATAATTTACAGCCTTGAGCTTCCAGGCCATTTATTTTCTGATAATATTCAACCTCAACCCAACTTTGCTTATCCCTGTCTGGCTCTGAAATTGCATGGGGCGATAGCTCAGGATCCAAACTCTCCTTGATATTCCCATCATCCATACTGTTTTGATTGACGCCATGGAGAATAAGCATCCATACTGCTTATTCGATAATTTACAGCCTTGAGCTTTCAGGCCTTTTATTTTTTGATAATATTCAACCTCAACCCAACTTTGCTTATCCCTGCCTGGCTCTGAAATTGCATGGGGCGATAGCTCAGGATCCAAACTCTACCTGATATTCCCATCATCCATACTGTTTTGATTGACGTCATGGAGATTATCATAAGGATTGTTCATCACCAATTCCTCCACCACTGCCATAATCTGTGACTCACCTGTACCTCTCGGAGTTGAGCTTCCCTCCATAACTGTATATTCGTTCACTAGTAGATTCTGACTCATTCCATATACAACTCTTGGAACTCTAGTTTCTATAGTATCTGTTACTGTTTCCATGAGTTGGAGCGAAAACTGAGGAAGCTGAAGTTGCGTTGTTCTGACAGCAGGACTGGAATTTACTCCACTTTCTCCTTTTTCAAAAATCTCCGTTTGCTGACCATTAGTAAAATTCAAGCCTATCTGTTCAGTGCTCCCAGAGTTCACCGTATTGACGCCCATCATTTTCCTTTAAAATGATTCTTTCATTTACAGCTGCCCCATTCTGGTTCTGATCCGATAGAGTTCCATTCCCCATATCAGGATGATGCATGTCATTGTTAGCATTTGGCTGGCCCTGTTGGCTTGAAGAGGTGGGCGTAACTCTTCCATAATATCTCTGATTCTGGTTAGCTTGAGTCACTAATTGATTCTCTGTTATTTTTCCTTTCCCTTTTAACTTGTAGTTTGAAACTTCTGTCCTGAAGCTCACCATTGGTTTAGATAAGTTGTTTTGCATATTAGAGGATTTGTTTCTAACAATTTGCCATGCAAACTCCTTATGTAAATTCTGGACCTGAGGGGGCTTAGGAGCTAGAGGCCTCTACTGTATTGTTCCTTGCCCAGCAGAAGGAGGTTTGTACTGTTGCTGTTCTCCTGCTTGGTTTCCATGCCTTTTTCGACAGCTGCCCTTGACATGACCCTGAATGTGGCAAAACTCACAATAGGTAATATTGGAATCTGCTTGTATGGCTTGCCAAAATCCTTTAGATTTATTTGAACCTACTAAAATCCAAACTCTTGATGGTATTGGTTTTGTGAGGTCAACTTTTGTAAATACCTTTGCATGCATGGGATGAGATCCATTCCTTGTGCGATTGTCTAGGAAAAGAAAATCACCAACTGGCCTAACAATTTCCTTTAGGAAAGCCGATGGAAAGAAAGGTAGGGGAAGTCCCGGGAGCTTGAGCCATATAGCAGCCCTAGTGGATTCATGTTTTGGGGAAAAACTATCTATCCACCGAAATGGTCTGAACATAGCATTGTCTATGTGGTGCTGTTCTTGGGACCATGCTCTGGTTAGATCTTCCTTGTTAAATAGGCTGATTAAAACATGACGGGGGTCCAATAATCCTATCACAGGTGCTTCCCTTAAACCCCAATGCTGATGAATATGTTTTCGTATAGTGTTGATTGGTGGCCTGTATTTTGAGAACTTTGCAACCAAAGAGAACTCAAATATTTTTGAAGATAACTGTATATTAGATTCAGAAAAGGCAATTGCTGGTTCAACTTCATGCGTAGATAGGGGTTCTGGTGTGATTTTTAGTGAAGGGAACTCATGTTTGGCTTCTGTTTGAGAGATGGCGGCTGCGACAAAAGTAGGTTTAGGGGTCCTGATTTACGACAAAAAGGGTTTAGTTGTTTCAGTTATTTCAGTTTGGGGGTTTTCTGGTGCGACTGGATTGGGTTGGGGTGCATGATCTGGGACGTTATTCGGCGCTGAGTTTGGAGAAAGTGGAAGGCAGTCTGGTATTTTGAGTCTGGGGAATTGTGGCTAAGATTGGGTAATGGATTGTATGCGTGACGCAGTTAGGATTTGATGATGGGAGAACCGAGAAGTAGCCTACTGTCTCCCCCATGGGGGCAACGTGCAAGCCAAGGTTTCTACTAGAAAGGCTGTGTTTCCATGGCTGCCACAGAGAAGGTAGGATTTTCACTCAGTTTTTTTAATTCAGTACACTTCATTTGGTAACTTCTTACAGAGAAGATAATACAACTAATGTTAGAGGACTTTAATTAAAACCTAGAGGTAAGTTAAGTTAAATTAAGAAAGATTTTATACATATATATAGAGAGAGTAATTTGGACATTAAATTTCTCATTTTAGTAATTGGTAATAATTAAATTTAAATGGAAAACGTATTAAAATAAATTATATTTCATAATCTAATAATTTTAATATGGACAAGGTATTAAAATTGCTATTTTACCTTATTAAAATTGCTATTCTGAAAAAAAAAAGTTTACTTGTGATAATAATTAAGTTTATATGGAAACAGTATTCCGGTTTTAGTTAATTGGGTTAAAAAGTAATAATTGAATAATTTTAATATAAGAAAAGCTATTAAAGTTACTATTTTAATTAATTAATTTAATAGTAAATTTATATGCAAGTCGTTAAATTAATAAACTTTCGAGGATATTTTAATTAAATTAAATATTTCAATATTAAGTTAGTGTTTTTATATATAGCTATGAATTTATTGAAACTATAACAAAGTTTGTCACAACTCTAATCGAAAAAATTATATTAAATAAAAACATAATGCTAAATTTGTTATTCTTACCATTTATTTTTTGTTATTATATTTTAATTAATTATGTTGTATATCAAATATGTATAGTACTTAATATTTAAATTTTAAATATTTTAGATATATGAAATATAAATACAGCAACAAATATTAATAATGGTCGTGTACTTGCATATCTAATTTGCAAGACAGATCGCTTTTATAATATACCATGTACTACATATTTATTTTTTAAGATAAGTCATCTTTACAATATGATCATATACTATATTTTATTTTTCGGGATCAAACCACCTTATACAATAAAGCTATTGCATTTTTAGTTTTGTTTAGAACAATCACTCAGTATATTTAGATCATATTTGCTTATCAAGTTACTTTTTTTCATTTCTTTACAAACTCATTAAGTAAATACGTTGATATTTTTATGTGAGCATTATAAAAAAGAGGTAATTGTCATACCTAATTTTTGCTCATTTTAGTTCATGTTTATTTTGTTTTTAAAAAAATTAACCAAGATGAGGGAGTATTAGTAATTTTTTCAGAAAAGAAGTGACATGAGAATAACAAATTTGATAATGGATTTAATAAAAAAATAAATCAAAATACTAATTCGTTCATTAATCATTATGGTAAGTAAATGGTAACAAAGAATGAATGGAAGATAAAAATAACCTATAACCTCTCACTCTCACTCTCAAAACAAATATAATTAATTAACCCTCATCACTTTGAAGAAGCAAGTGAAACAACAAATTACTCAATGTTGGAAGAAGCCAAGAAGAGAAACAACAAGAGACAACCCAACAATGGCTCCCGAAACTGGCAAAGAGAACCCATCGCCAGCATCCATTCCTGGTGCTGGTGCAGAAGCCATTTCGCTGTCCTGGGCAGAAACAGCAGCAGCAAATGTAGCAATCACGAGCATGAGCACCCATGCCTCGGAGATTCTAACCTGAGCCATTGTCAAAAGCAGAGAGTATGTAATTGCTATGCTTCTTTGTAACTCTGGTTTGGTTTTAGACAGGAGCAAGAGTGTTTGTTGATTGCATTTTCGGGCTTGATAATTTCTCTAATTTATAGTCGGTTTTGTGCGGCGTGTAAAAGTGTAGTCTCTGACTCTGATTCTGCATGGTACATGCAACTACTAGAAAATTAGAATTTGGTTGGCAACGTTCACCCAATAACAGCTGTGTGACGTGTGGATTTGATAAGTGGTCTAAAGTTTTGGTCGGCGGGGCAGCCGGCTGGTTGTCTCACACGTTGCCGCATAAGGGCGGTCTTTTAGAAAATGTATGTCGACGTGCGCAGCAATGGGGGTCTGAGGCTAAATATTAAGGCCAAGTGGATCTTATCCAAGCCCAAGAAGCTTTCTTTCAGGCAATTAGGGGCTAGCAATTTTTGTTGGTAACTTGGTGTTGTCAGCATCATTTATTGGATAATTGTTTTAAAACAAAGTCCCTAAATTTTTATGTTTTTAGTGGGTTTTTTTCAAAATGTGATAATCAATTATTCTTAGCTCATTTATGAAGGTGAATTTTAATTTTTCCTACTCAATCACCCTACTAAATTTGATTACATCATTAAAAAAGATCGAAGATATCAATCTTTTTAGGCTATTATATCGGTATCGACTTATAATTACTCGTTATGCGGAGAGTCAATGTGTCATCGTTACAAAAATAGAGATTATTATGGTATCTTCTTCTTATAATGTGATTTTTCAAAAGACTTTCCCACATTTAGTTATGTCTTTTTCGAATTATTTATTTATTAAAATCCTCTATTTTTTTTCCTTTACTTTATTAAAGCTCCTTATTCTTTCATATATATATTTTTTTAATTTCAAATCTTCCTTTATAATGTCATCAATCAATGATCGACACGTAAGCTCTACTCTTCGAAATTTATTACTTTACAATATCATGTGTTTAATTACTTATTGGTGACATTTTAATAGATGGTTTAAAACAAAAAAGTGTTGAAGAATAAAAAGTTTCAATCCAACCATAAAAGAATAGAGAGTTTCTATAAAAAAGATTCAAAAAATACAAGATCTAAATATGAAAAAAAATGCATTTTTAAATTCAAATACTTTATAGAGAAAATTTAAAAATTCGGTACCATTAAACCAAATTTCGTTAATAATTAATAATTATATATCTAATTGAAAAATGTTGATGAAAGATATCATTATAAACTCTTATTACCTTACCACAAAATCTATTGGATATTCAAAGTAGAAAATAAGTTTGGACTATTTATCTCCTAAGAGAATACCGCAATTTCAATTCTCCTATAAATTTATCACCATAAAAAACCTTATAGCTATAAGAACTCGAAATAAAAATTGGAACTTCCCGACCTAAAGACACCGGGCTAAAGAGAAGCTAGTAAACCCCAAAGACCATTGTGAAGAAGAATTTTAGGCCCGGACCTCGGGCCTCAAATGTAAGAGAGATTTTGCTAAATTCTTTTTTTTTTTTAATTTTCTTTTTAGAATTTCCTAGGTTGTTATTAGTTTTTTTTTTTCCTTTTAATTCAAACTTCTTGCCTTTTTTATTTTGAAAATAAAAAATAAAAAAGAAACTTGACATATGGTTAAATAACTAAAAAAACAAAGTTTTGACTATTTATTCCCTATCATTATAAACTCTTATTACCTTACCACAAAATCTATTGATATTCAAAGTAGGAAATAATTTTTGACTATTTAACTCTTAAGAGAATACCGCAATTTTAATTCTCCTATAAATTTATCACCATAAAAAACCTTATAGCTATAAGAACTCGAAATAAAAATTGGAACTCTCCAGCCCAAAGACACCGGGCTAAAGAGAAGCCGATAAACCCCAAAGACCATTGTGAATAAGAATTTTGGGCCTAGCCCTCGGGCCTCAAATGTAAAAGAAATTTTGCTAACTTTTTTTTTTTTTTTGAGAATTTCCTAGGTTGTTATTAGCTTTTTTTCTCTTTTAATTCAAACTTCATGCCTTTTTTATTTTGAAAATAAAAAATAAAAAGAAACTTGACATATGGTTAAATAACTAAAAAAAAAGTTTTGACTATTTATCTCCTATAATTATAAACTCTTATTACCTTACCATAAAATCTATTGGATATTCAAAGTAGGAAATAAGTTTTGACTATTTATCTCCTAAGAGAATACCGCAATTTCAATTCTCCGATAAATTTATCACCATAAAAAACCTTGTAGCTATAAGAACTGAAATAAAAATTGGAACTCTCCAGCCCAAAGACACTAGGCTAAAGAGAAGTCGATAAACCCCAAAGACCATTGTTAAGAAGAATTTTGGGCCTAGCCTTCGAGCCTCAAATGTAAGAGAAATTTTTTTTTATTTTTTTTATTTTAAGAATTTCCTAGGTTGTTATTAGCCTTTTTTTTTTTTTCCTTTTAATTCAAACTTCATGCCTTTTTTTATTTTGAAAATAAAAAATAAAAAAGAAACTTGACATATGGTTAAATAACCGAAAGATTTTATAGAAAAAAAATATGGGTTAAATTTTATAGTAAATGTGTTGTAAATGCACGGAAAGTTTTTGCTAAATGATATAAAATTATTTGAATAAGATTGTAAATGGAGTACAAAGAGTGCTTTTGATTTGTTAATTCCAAAATTAAATTCTTATAATTGAAAATTTTATCTCTTTTTATTGTGTGATGCTAAATATGAATTATTTTTAAACTCAAAGAGTTAGATCTTTATAATCGACTATATTCTAGGCATAAATCATTAATGATCTAACCTATGAAGTAATGGATTTAATTTAGATTTATACAAAAACTAATCTGAAAATACTTTATTATCTATAAATATCAACCAAAAAAATTATTTATTGGTTGAGATCAAACTCGTGAAATAATTTATATTGAATAATTTAGATTGAGTTTTTCATTAATTTCCATTAACTTTATGCGGACATAAGCCTTAACTATACATGTGGCACCAACATATAGGCTCCACTATCTTTTTATTTTGTCTATAAACTTGTTAATTTTTTTTTTAGTGTATAAATTTTGATATTTGTTATTTAAGTGTGCTAACTTGTAATTTTTTTTTATTTGAATGGTTTCATTAACTTTAGATTGATGTGTCTATTAACCGTATACATGAAACTCGTCATGTGAGCCTATTGTCAAGACACATGGTAATTAAGAAAATAAAAAATAAAAAATTAACGATCTATTCTTATCCTTTGATAGCAACAAGAAAGAAAAATAATTTACATATCAACAATTAGATATTTATAGCATGTATATAAATTATTTAAAAAAAAAAGACAAACAAATTCTTAGACATAACTAGATACAAAAATTTATAGCATGTATATAAATTATATATTTTTTTAAAAAAAAGACAAACAAAGTACTTAAACATAACCGGATACAGGAAAGTAATTGAAAATTAAAAACAACATAGTTGTTTTCATTTATTGAGATAATGATCCGTTCTCATTTTTGAAGTGAACTATTTTCACTAAGGCGAAATTTGGTGTCACGTGTGTAGTTGATAGACTCATCAATTTAAAGTTAGTGGAACCACTCAAACAGAAAAAATTACAAATTGATGTATTCAAATAACAAAGATCAAAATTACACACTTAAATAGAAAAAATTCAAAAATTTATGTAAAAACAATTGACAATGGAACCCATAGGTTGATGTCACATGTGCGAGTTAACGAACATGTCAACTCGTGATGACTTTAAGTCAAAGGACTAGTTGTATCCATCTCATACAAGATTCTCATAGACTAAACCAAATAGGCTCTCATGGCGAGTCAAGTTGAGTGATATGTTCTCTAACATTAATCACCTAAGTGGTTGCTTTGGCATCATTATGTCAATAGGTGTGAGATCTCCTACTCGCTATCTTATAGTATGAATATAGCACTCACAAGTCTAACCATATATATGTTAGTGTAGACTGCTTTAAATCTAACCTTATTTGGATAGGTTTGACTTATTGTAATATTACATTATTTATTTTACTAATAAAAGAAATATTTCTATTAATTCTTATTGTTTGTATTTATTTGTTAGAATTAAATAGAACTCCATATGATATATAGTGCTTTAATGTTGATTGAAAGATGTGAGATAAATATTAATGTACTTAAATGATATCATTAAATTCTTAAATCGTATCATTATCAAGAGTGGATATTGACTATATGCGGTTAGACTTGTGAGTACTATGCTCATGCTATAAGATAACAATAGGAAATCTCACCTCTATTGACATGGTAATGCCAAAGCAAGCACTTAGGTGATTTATGTTAGAGAACATATTACTAGGCTTTACTTGCCATGAGAACCCATTTAGTTTAGTCTATGAAAATCTCATACGAGATGGATACAACTAGTCTTTTGACTTGAAGTAATCACGATTATCTTATTAGAGGATTTATGTACTTTGACACTTGTTTTGATAGACCTAGTAAAGGGTTTTACATGGGTCATTCATTGGGTGCACTCGGGAATCTAATAAACATAGGTGGATGACTAAAATAGGAAATATCATTCCTTGTATGCTAAAGGAGTTATCACATTGCACTTTTATAAATGTCCGCTCAACAAGTCCGTGGCTACAATAGGAGTACACCAATAAATTATAATTGGTTTACTCTAAGAGCTAAGATATTTGAGAATTGAAGAAAACTTATGTGATCATGATCGAACGGACTAAAAACCAAGCTTGATATCACACTCGTGATAAATTAACATAAGGGCTAAATTGTTTGATAACCATGCTCATGAGAGATAATTATAGATTAATTAATCATCTTAGAGAATTGGATAGTCATGATGCCTTGCTAGAGACCAATCTTAATTTATGTATCAAGAGATAAAAGAGGTGTCTTTTATTCTTGATACATTTCCAACATATCTAGGAGCCTATTGAGTCACACTCATAAATTTAATCATTCATATAATAAAAAAGAAGCAAAGATGTTGTAAATTTTTTTCAATTTTGAAGGTTTCCAATTTTGAAAAATGTTTTCAAAAATGAAAAGTTTTTTAAAATGGAATTTTCTTAAAATGAAAATTTTCCTATTTTAAAAATTTATTTCCTAATTTGGAAGTAAGCTACCTAAGAAGGAAATTATTTTCCTAATTTAGGTTTAAAGATAATTTGAAAAATTGTTTCCTTATGTAAGCCTCTTAAAAATATGTAACCTAACTTATTTGAATAGTCCAAATTAATTGGTAATTAATTAGGCCAAATTTTTTAGGCCAATAGGTTTAAT